TGACCCTCAAACCCACTCCCCAGGCAACAGACAACAATGAATGAGCACGACAGGGTGGATAACAGTGACAACACCATATGACAATGCAATGAACCAGGACAACAATGTGGGAGACAACAGGGCATGAGAAGAGGGGTGAGTCACTTATAATATAGCCAGCAGAGTTTGAATGACTTCAAAGAAATCAGATCAGGTAATTCCAGAGGATGACAGTGACAATGTATGATTGCAGTGAATGAACATATTACAAGTAGATCTATGTGACCTTGAAACATGAATTGCATCTAATATAATGGGATGCAAGCTAAATCAAAGACCATAGAACATATAGAAACCCAGCACATAAGTGACACCTGGTACTGCTATTAATTCAAACCTTCATCTTCTTTGGTTTTGAGGACCTTGTAGCAGTAGCACAGCAACCATGGTGGGTGGGTTCCAGACCTGGTTCAGTAGCATGAATATCAGTTGTAAGACCCTTGGGAACCACCTCAGGAATGGCTGGAATCACCTTTTGAGCGGCTGAGCTGCACTGGTGACTCATGACTGGAATTGCTCATCAGGATCAAGATGTTTCAGCCTCAGCTGGGCCAGACACATTCATCTGACCAACAGCAATGGTCACTGCTGTGAGTCAAAGTGAGGTTCAGTGGTGAAAACCAACCAAAACCAACACAAAAGACAATGAAAGCGAGTGGTGGTGTGCCTATGCAGTACCTAGATGGTAGAACCTGTTCTTTGGGAGGGTTTTTGTGAGCTACAACACTCAAAGATGAGTGGTGAGGGTTGGGGGGGTGCTCCTGACGAAGAGGGAGCAAGAATGTGATAGAAAGCGACAGGGTAGACTGCTGTCAGCCTACAGAAGGATGGATGGTGACTTAATTCGATGTCCTAAGCTGTACTGAGCTCAGGGAGGGCTTGGAGCGAAGTATATGGATGATAGATGATGATAAGCAAAGTAGATGATAGCTAGACCCTTAATAAAGTCTCAACTATCGAAGCTGATGAATGATTTACTGAGAGATGATAAATTGCGAGCAAGAGGGGCTCTCTGATGTCTTTTTTTTTTTTGCTACCTAAGTACAGTGACTTATATACAGTACAGGGGTGTTGCCTATGGAAAACAAGGTGCAAACACTTGGTAAGTGATTGGTAACTGATGAGTAAGGAATGTAAGCGATGGGTAATCGTCTTGGAAAGCATTGGTAAGCACTGGTAAGGATAAGTAAGCCAAAAAGCGAAGAATCAGTAAGCAAAGTCAAAAGATTGGTAAGTATTGGCAATAGGTGAGTCAAAGACAGTCAGAATGTCACAGTATGAGTCAAGCAATGTCAGGAACTGGGAAAGTGCACTGGAATCACATTAGGGGGAGGCTGTGCATGTCACATCTCGAAGAGATCACTTCTAGGCCAAAGTGGGATGACAGAGAGGCAGCGCTGATCTGATGCCGATATAGTACATCCAAAAGCGGACAGGGTGAGTCAGATGTCAACAGGGGTCAAGCTTTGGGGGTCTGTGGGGTGACAGGAGCATAGGGGATCGCAACTTTCCCCCCCCAAACCATCCTCTCAGTGAAGCAAATAAAAACTTCATGAACGAGGCTCTGTTGGAAGAGAGGATGAAGGGGGAGCATCTTCTGCTGTATCTTGCAACAAGGAGGCAAGATGTGCATCATACTCATCATGGATGTGATCAGGGAGAGTGGAGAACAGTAGATTATACTGTAGCTGTCACAATTTTGGAAGAATGATGGATGAGACCAGTATGAAGACATTGCAGGGGGCAGGGAGGAAGGATCCATATGCTTCTTGGACTGGAGAGACTGAAATGACCACATAAGACCTTTCCAAGCAAATGACAGACCTGAGGTGACCAAAGAACGTCCTCCTGGAGGTCATACTGACAAAAAGAACATGCTGTCCAAGCTGGATGGGCTGAGAGGGGGCAGATGAGGGTGGGATGTACCAGGATGCTTCAGGATGGAAGCTGGTAGGAACTCCTGGTAGATATATGTAGTCATGGTCCCTAGCAAAGGGGACAAGCGAAATGACTGATGTGGAGGCAGCCATATCAGAAGAATTAGCGAAATGAGCGTCTTTTGGAGGGAGTGCTGTAGAAATGTGTGGAGTGCACAAATCCTTTCCAATCTTGGAATGTAGGATCACGTGGCTGAGCACTACAAGCGAGTGGGAATGGTTTCAGTGTCTGCAGAATTGGTGGAGATATGTCGAAAACTGGAATGCCGTACACGGGCACTTAAGAACTTTATTGGCACTTAACCTGCCTCCTCCTTTTCTTTGCTACTGACAACTTGTTCTTGTGTGAGGGATGACTGCCGACATTGCTGGCTGTCCTTCTTCGCATGAGGGCTATGGTCTTCACCTCCATTCATCAGCTACATCCATGTCCACCTCACCAAACACCTTTGGTGTGTGACACCGCTGACACCTCAACACTACTGTTTGAAATCAGCTGCCCAATTGAGATAGAAGGGGATGACTGATGAGAAGCACCAGAAATAGTTTGAGCACTGAGATCAGCTTGTGCAGCAGTGACACTAGCTGGACGAGAGTGAGGGGGATTGAAATGAGTGACCAAGCCAGCAACAGGTGATGGAGCATGAGAGACCAATGACAGATCAGAGTCATGTAGATCTGAATCATGGCTGCCAGGGGCATTGAGGTCATGCAGTGTGGGAATGGGTGGGGTGTGACTCTCAGTGGGGTCAATGTTGTTGAGTTCATCTAAAAATTCATCTTCCCAAGTACATGGCTGCTCCACATTAGCAAATACCTCGGATTAAACATTTGCCAATTGAGACCCCTTCCTGAAGACTTCCTGGTTGAAGAAATTCATTATGCTGACAGCCCAAGGAGATGCTTTGAAAAGCTTCTCAAGGTAGAAATTGTATTCTGATCAGTAGTTGACCTGTGTTTCTGCACTGGTGTCACACACCAAAGGTGTTTGGTGAGGTGGACATGGATACAGCTGATGAATGGAGATGAAGACCATAGCCCTCATGCAAAGAAGGACAGCCAGGAATGTTGGCAGTCATCCCTCACACAACAACAAGTCATCAGTGCCAGAGAAAAAGAAAGGGAGTGAGTTAAGTGCTGGCTAAATTTCTTAAGCACCCATGTACAGCATTCCAGTTTTCAACATATCTCTGCTGCTTCTGCAGATACCAAGACCATTCCCACACTCGCTTGTAGTGCTCAGCCATGCAATCTTACCTTCCAAAATTGGAAAGGATTTGCACACTCCACATGTTTCTACAGCACTCCCTCCAAAAGATGCTCATTTTGCTAAATTCTTCTGATTTGGCCACCTCTGCATCAATCATTTTGCTTGTCCCCTTTGCTAGGGACCATGGCTACATATATCTACCAGGAGTTCCTACCAGCTTCTGTCCTGAAGCATCCTGGTACATCCCACCCTTGTCTGTGCCCTCTCAGCCCATCCAGCTTGGACAGCATGTTCTTTTTGTCAGTATGACCTCCAGGAGGACGTTCTTTGGTCACCTCAGGTCTGTCATTTGCTTGGAAAGGTCTTATGTGGTCATTTCAGTCTCTCTGGTCCAAGAAGCATGTGGATCCTTCCTCCCTGCTCCCTGCAATGTCTTCATACCAGTCTTGTCCATCATTCTTCCAAGATTGTGACAGCTACAGTATAATCTACTGTTCTCCACTCTCCCTGATCACATCCATGATGAGTATGATGCACATCTTGCCTCCTTGTTGCAAGATACAGCAGAAGACACTCCCCCTTCATCCTCTCTTCCAACAGAGCCTCATTCATGAAGTTTTTATTTGCTTTACTGAGAGGATGGTTTGGGGGGAAAGGTTGCAATCCCCTATGCTCCTGTCACCCCACAGACCCCCAAAGCTTGACCCCTGTTGACATCTGACTCACCCTGTCCACTTTTGGATGTACTATATTGGCATCAGATCAACGCTGCCTCTCTGTCATCCCATCTTGGCCTAGAAGCAATCTCTTCGAGATGTGACATGCACAGCCTCCCCCTAATGTGATTCCAGTGTGCTTTCCCAGTTCCTGACATTGCTTGACTCATACTTTGACATTCTGACTGTCTTTGACTCACCTATTGCCAATACTTACCAATCTTTTGACTTTGCTTACTGATTCTTCGCTTTTTGGCTTGCTAATCCTTACCAATCCTTACCAATGCTTTCCAAGATGATTACCCATCACTTATATTCCTTACTCATCAGTTACCAATCACTTACCAAGTGTTTGCACCTTGTTTTCCAAGGGCAACACCCCTTTACTGTATATAAATCACTGTACCTAGATAGCAAAAAAGAAGACATCAGAGAGAGCCCCTCTTGCTCACATTTTATCATCACTCAGTAATTCATTCAGCAGCTTCAATAGTTGAGACTTTGTTAAGGGTCTAACTATCATCTACTTTGTTTATCCTTGTCTATCATCAATATACTTCACTCCAAGCCCTCCCTGAGCTCAGTGCAGCTTAGGACATCGAATTAAGTCATCATCCATCCTTCTGTAGGCTGACAGCAGTCTACCCTATCACATTCTCTTGCATTCCTGCTCCTTCTTCATCAGGAGCACCCCCAACCCTCAGCACTCATCTTTGAGTGTTGTAGCTCACAAAAAACCCTCTGAAAGAACAGGTTCTACCATCTAGGTACTGCATAGGCACACCACCACTCACTCTTTTTGTCTTTTGTGTTGGTTTTGGTTGGTTTTCACCACTGAACCACACTTTGACTCACACTGGTAGCACCTAATTCAGGATCATGCAACAATAGGAATTGAACCTTGGTATGATATTGACATCAGCATGTACTAGCACAGTGACCACAGACACCCTCACCAAGATGCAGGCACCAGCAATCAGGCCCTCAGTAATGCTCAGCATGCCCATCTTCTGACCCCTGGCTTGGGGCTGTCCACATTTGTTTTCTGTGAGGATTGATTTTCCAAACATCAGGACACAGATAAGCTATGGGCTGAAATCAATTTTCAAATAAGAGCAGCATTGAACTGTGCATGCTTACCTTAACTAGGACAGGACTCTTCAAGAAGCCTCCAGTAACCATCTGCTTAGGATCTGCAAAAAGAATGGGTGCAAAACAGGTGTATTCTCTGACTCCATCCTTCTTCAAGAGTGCCAGGCATGCCTTGTTGTCCTTCTTACAAGCAGGCTTTCCAGTAAAGAGATCCAGTAAAATGTTATATGGAGCAAATAATGTGCCAGCACAGTCCTTGATGACTTTGAGGACATTGGATCTCTCCTGACTGTGTGCTTGTATGAACTTAAAACAAATTAATATGTTAGTTGTCACCAAGGTTGGAATTACACATACCATGGAGCCAAATTGCTTGTAGGTTACCATCGACTCATGTAAATCCACAGGAATCATCTTGTAAAGCTCAGTCAGAGTGCCCTTGAGCTTCCCATCCTGTGATTTCCACTGTGCTGGATCATGTTGATCAGTATTGGGATTCAGAACTGCTGGGAAAAGGCTTTGAATGATGAAAAAATGATACAGTAGGAGGTATTTCTTTGCTTCTTGCTCAATACGAGTTGTGAGGCTGTTTGACTTGCTAGATGTGTTCCTGGACTGCTTGGAATGCTGGCTATTGGCTTTGAAGAGAGCCTTCCTTGTCTGGTGCAGTTCCTTGCAGCATTTGGTGTATGCTTGTTGCACAACACTGAGAGCCTAGCATCATGTCAGCACTAATGCCTGGTGACTCATCATGAACAAGAATGTATAAATACATACCGCTCACAGCTCAGCAACATCAGCTTGAGGTCCAGGAACATGAGTAAGTTGCCTGTGCTGTTCAGTGTTGCTGTCCAGGTCTTCCAAGTCAGTATTGTCTGTCCCTTCATCAAGGTTGAAATCTTCAGGACCTCCATCCTCAGCATCAGAGTGGAAGGCATCATAAGCAGTGCTGGGTGCCATATTAGTGAAGGAAATGGACATCAAGGATCAGAGGAAATGGTAAGGCCACACATGGATGGTTGTGAACCTTTGCAAGCCTCCCTTTATTCTCCTTATTAAGGGCAATGGATGTCACAAATCCCAATGGAGGTCGACACCTGCCAGTTGGGTGCTCTTAGATGAATATGGAAATTTTGAATAGTACAAAAAAATGCAATATGTACATAGTAGTAGCCTCAGGGAATCCACATGGCAGACCATCAGTGGGTTGGATGTCAGCAGTTGGACATAACCAGCTATTGAGCTGGTCTGAGGACATAATAAAGCATGATTTGACAATGCCATCAGCAGTAGGCAACTACAGTACAAAAGTTGCTCACCTTAGTCCCTCTTGATATGTAATCAACAATGTGTTCTGGGGATCAATGTTGATGCAGTACGAATCATGAGTGAATAACTTATATGCAATGACACAAGGTCATGGCATTGTCACATGAATTGACTCAATGTTAACTTGAATCTGAAACTGACCTTTTGGGAGCTTTTTTCTTGCTTTCTTTCTGGTTATAATATTACAGCTGTTTTATTCTGTTCATGTAATGTTACAGATTCTAGTGTAGACAATGATGCTAGTGATGAACCCAGCCACAGAATACATGAGAAAAACTAGTGGAAGAGAGAGCAGAATGCTTCAGTGCTGTAAGTGGTTTGAGATGAGTTAGGGATAGGAGCAATAATGGGGAACTGCAAACTCACTGGGAGAAATATGAATCCTTCACAGGCAGCAGCAGCCGCATGATGAACAGCTGCAGAACCCTGTAGCAACTCTGCTTTATACTGGAAAATAGACAGGAAAGATGTAACCGTGCTCAGAACAGAAGATGAAATGGCAACTGGACCTCCAATGTGTGTGATACCATCCAGTCCTGGGAATGAGATAAGCGTGACAGAGGTGCTGAGGATAATGCAGACTGCACAAGCAGAAAGCAGGGAAGGAAAAGAAGTTAGGAATGAGTACAACTATCATCATAATGATTAACCCTCACCACAAGACAGGTACAAGCACCAATGACAAACAGTGGTGCACTACTCTGCATGCTTACATTCCCCTCCACATCAAAATGGCCACTATATCTTGCTCGATCCATGAACAAGAATGGGATGCCAAGGCACAGTATACCAATCAATATCTCGACCACCATGCATAGCATTGGGGTCTGCCTTGATGTGTGTGTGGCAATGATGTCTCATGGGAGCGGTTTGTGTGGCCTGAAATTGACCCGATGCCAATGAGCTGATCAAGAACTTTAGCCTGTAAGAACATAACACTGGTGAGGGGTATGGTGCAGAAACTCACTGGCACATAGAAGAACATGAGTGACCATGCATGTGTATGAAAGAGTGGATTGCTGACTTGGATCTGTCAAAAAAAGAATCAGACAAGTAGAACTGAATGGAAATGTCCCAGCCTCACCATTGAGTAGTCTCAACAGTTCCTGACACTCCTCCTGACTAAAAGGTGGCTGAATTGGTTGGGGATGGGCAAGCAGCCAATCTGTGTAGGACCAATGTAGTATGTCCACAGCCTCCTGCTGGGACCCTTGGGAGAGAACCACATGGGTGGGATGGGTTTTGACATAAGACCAGTACCTGTACTTGTCGTCTAGGCCTGCCAATGCACCAGATCAGCATGCAAAACTAGAGGAGAACAAGTACAACTCACGATTGTCCTCTCCCAAAACTCCCCCATCATCAGTGGGTGCATCATTCAGAATCCACCTACACCTATGATCCACCCAAAATACGATCAAGTCTCCCATAGCTACACCCTTCTTTCTACTTCATGCTGACACCTTGTGACTCCTCTGAATCCACATCTCACACCCATCTGGAACTTGTTGGTCAGCCATGTTCTCCATGGCACTCTCCATAACCTCTCCACCTCCTCTAACCTTGCATGACTCCTCAGATCCAAATCTGTCATAGCACAATTTTCAGGGTTGCCGAAATACCGAATCCCATGAGGCAACACATTCAAACCACCTGCTATCTGTGTAAGGTTGTCTCACAGAATTGTAGTGATTTCGAGTTGAGCCATTGACATCTAATCGAGCTGGTCGTGCCCATTGAGGTGTGGGCTGTGCATCTGCTGGTGGGTGCGCAGTCTTAGAGGCATGGCATGATTGTGCGACCAAGTCAAATGCTGTGTGCCCCAGGAAAGTGGTGATAATTGGGGGCATCTATGGGTGTGAATTAAGAAGAGGGTGACATTCACTGTAAGGAAATGCTTTAGTCAGAAGACGAGACAGAACCAAGAGATGTATGAAGAAGTAGAAGGCAGCCTTACTCCTGATTTCTTCTAATGTAATCCATCAAATTGCTTCTGGCTGTGCTGAGATTATATCCAGAGGGTTGATGAGAAGGTCTGGTTGACATCAACACCACACATACTTCCAAGAAGCAGGTACTCACTATGAGGATATGACTTCATGCATGAGTGGAAGGCTAGGCAGGTTCCCCTCAGCAAATGAAGATTGAATGGTCTCACACATTTAGCATGTTGGAAACGGTTTAGGTTGTACCACTTACTCTGGCACATGGATGGTCTTAGCAGGAGATACAGTGGCAATGGCTTGTGCTACCTTCACAGACACCCACACTATGCTACTTGACATGATGGAATGGGGACAGAGTGTGAAAAAGCATGTATAGTGGGTTGAATCATGGGCAGGACAGAAAGTTGCAAAGAGGGACCAGTCAAGTACACAGACTTTGTCTTGCTCACAACATGTATTGTGAGTTTTGTATATGTGCATGCGAACATGAAAAAAGACAAGACCAGATACTACATTCTGTACAAAGATCTGACATCGCCAAGGAAAAAAGTCAGCAGGTAAGTGCATGATGAATTGGATACAAAGGTGAAAGGGTATGCTCAACTTCCCAATACTTGTCTGACTTGAATGTGTTCCATTGCAACCTTGACTGGCCAGCAATGCATCTGTTGTATCCACAGGTGCAAAGTGTTGCCAATGCTCATTCTGTTTCCTGATGCCTTACCATATGCCTGTAAACTCATGTCAGTAGCATATCCACCTCGAGTATCTTCAGCACTCTTGCATCCTCACAGTCTCTGTTTGTCCAGTATCTGTTTAAATTAGTAGCTTCTGTTCTCGCATCATATGAAATTCACCTTGTGCCTCATTCACGAATTCCCCTTGCTGATGGTCAACTGTTGGTCTCTTGTGAGGCGTGACTTTTGATTCCCCCTCCATGCTCAGCGACTTCAACTCGAAATCTCCTCTTCCACACTCAGCGACTTCAAATCTGCCCCTTCCCTGCCCCACCCATGTCCCCCGATGCATTCAAAATTCCCAATGGTGCTTCAACACCCATTGATGTGCCCAAGACCACTGAGGCAGTGACAGACATGTTCAGCAATTTGTACAGCTTGGTGGTATGTCTTCCATTCTGCTTGTGTACTAGTCCATCAATATTGACTTGCCACTAGAATTTTCCTCCCAACAGTTTGCCCCCTGAATGGGCTGCTCCTGCTGCCATCGCTACACCCTCCACCATAGACCCTGCTTTACTCTCCCTCGACACTTATCCCCCTCCTGATGTCCCAGCCAATGATGTTCCCATCACTGAGACAATTAGGTGTGATGCAGATGTTGACTTCCATTCAATTCTGACTTTCCACAACACCCTACAAGCCATCATTCTATGCACTGGACCATTTCCTTGCTGAACAAGTTGTGTCCTAAGAAGGTCCTTGGAAAATGGAAGAGGGAGGACTAGGGAAGGGAAGAGGAGCTGAATCATGGTTTCTTCACCTTTGAGGCTTCAACAGCCTTGTAGACCTATATACATCCCTTTGCCCTGTAGTTTCAACACTTCATTGGTCAGAGCATATCTCTGTAGTCATACATAAAAAAACAAGACCATTGTCCACTCTGGCAGCCTGCTGTCCAGCATCTGGTAGATTGAGTTTCATGTGGTGGGCATAATGAGTAGTGAAACAGACCTCACCATATTCCCCTGATGACCCCCTGCATCAGTGCACCTACTACTTACTGCTTTGCTCCACAGCAGGGGGGAAAAGAGTTGGGCATGTGTCTGATGTGGTCCTGTTCCAGAGTGGTTGCCAATGGTATTAATCATGACTTACTATTTCTCAATGCCAGCTTCAATCTGTTGCCCAAGTACCTTTGATCTACTACTGAGCATGTTGCAAGTCTTCAGTTTCCTTGCTAGGATGGTTGATGGCTTGCAAAGGACAAGACAGTGATGGGTCAGAACAGACATCTGCAATGTGCTCAAAATTCTCTGGTTGGAAGGCCACTAGAGATGGTAAGTAACCTACATCACCTGTGTCCTGTAGGAACATATCACTATCAAGCTGCTCAACAACACAAAATTTGTCATCATGTTCAGTGTCAGGTGCTAGAACAGCCCCTCAGATGATTCGAGCACAATGGTATGAAGATGGACACAGCCACATGAACTGTCCTTGACACATTTGAGGTCTGAGATTGCACGATCAATAGTGCAGGGCTGGTCCTGATCCTTGTCATGAAGGGTTGTGCCAAGATAAATTCCATGTTTCCTATGTCTGGAATGACACAGGAAAACACTGCAGATGAGACGAATGAAGGTGGTTTCTATCTCAGTGTATTGAATAAGCTGCACAGTCATAGCAGGGCACACCAAAAAATGATGGGTTGCAGCAGAGACGATCTGTGCACTGGTTCCAAGTGACAGTCAACTTGTAGTTGACCAGCAGATAACAGTATTCTTTAACCTCAGCACAAGCACAGTTTCAACTAGATGAATGCATAATGAGAGTGTAGATACATACTGTGAAGTCAGTGGGGAGGGAGATCCATGACTTGACTTGATATCCATATGCCAGAAGGGCATCATTAAGGAACTTGCAGAACCTTTGATGGAACTGATGGAGTGCCATATCTGGCTGACCATTTTCCTCCAAGTCTTTCAGGGTTTGGGTCATGACAACATGTGCACCAAGCTTAATATGATCAACTGAGGTATGCTCACTGACCACATCAACTTCTGGATCTGATTCCCCAGAGACAGATTTCTCAAGGTGATCAACACACAATCTGAGAAGCTTCATAGAAAGAACTTGATGATCTACCTGCAAGACCTAACATGCATTTTAAAGTGACTGTGAGTAGGAGTGTCAGCACACATGGTTGTCATACCTGAGCAGGAACATCTCTGCCATTCAAACAGTGTTCATATGCATCTCGGATTGGCTTATGCATACTTTTGTTGGGCCGAGTGCTATAGTTGTGTGTGGCACCCTTTAGGCAGATATCTCGAATGATGTGCTTCCAGAGGTGGACCTTCAGGAAATTCCAGTCAGTTCACAGACCATCAATGTTGGACTTCATGACACATTACAACAAATTGGCATGAGCATGAAGCATATAACTACCTTCAGTGTCTGATCAAATGTCAATATTTTGTTGTTGATCATGTTAACCATACATTCAGTCTGGATATCTAAGCCAACAAGGCTATCAAGCTGTAGGTAACTTTGGATGACTCAGAGGAGCTGGTACCCTTCAGGGGTTATACTCTTCTTCAAAACATTGATCCCCATGTAGAAGATTTGCTAGGGAAACAGTTCATTGACAGCTGTCTGGTATTGGACACACATACCTTGGAGATATCAGCCAGCTTGTTACCATCTGAAAAAGTGACATGAATAACTTGGTTGAAGTGTGTGAGGTTTTGCCAGCAAGGAAAACTTGCAACACTGTCATTGTCAAACATGAGAAGTGACAATGTTCAGAGCAATTGATTGTAAAACAGTGACTCACTACTTCTCGACATCAGCTTCAATCTGTCACCTGAGCACCTTTACAATCACCTTTAGGTCCCCAAAGACATGCTTGCCCCAAAAACCATGCCCATAATGCAGTCGATCAAAGCTGCAGGCAAGGTGGAGATCAGAAAACCCAATCAGCCAGAACACATTCTGCAACCCATTATATATTAGTTCACTGATGGTGATTTGTTGGTGGAAACCCACTTTGATTGGTCATAAACCTAACCACTTCAGCAATTCATTGCCTTCAGCTCAATTTGTAGCACAAACACATAATGCATTGATGCCCTGGGCATGCATATGAGGTTCAAAAGTCCTAGAGAGGTCATGGAGTAGCTCTGACAGTACAAGACATACAGGGCAAGGGCATTTGCCACTGTGACCACAAGTGAGTGCCATCATGCATCTGTAGTAGGCCATTGAGTTAGTATCATTAGTCTGAGCAAGAAGAAGGAAGTATATTACATCTCTTCAAAATTGGCAGACAGCATCATAAGACTTGGAAAGAGCCAACAGGTAATGTTGTTGTGTGAAGATGTATGTATGTACCCAGTCTTTGAGTACTGCTCAATCTCCAGAAGTAACTTTTTAATAGATTTGTGCCAAATGACATGCTTGAGGGTTGTGTAGCCTAGCTTTCCCTCTTCTTCAGCATCTTCGGGGACCTGAAATGTTCTTAGCCTATACAAATATCTAAACAGTGGACATCATTCACAATAGGCAGCCAGCCAACAACAGTACCTCTGCCAAGGACATTGCTATTCTGAATCTCAACTGGAAAGTTTGCACAGCACACAATGATGGGGTAACTCTTGGCAGTTCCGAAAGATGATAGGTTGGATTTGTCAGCATAAAGGATCAGGCCAAATGGCACAGTGTTCTTGATATTTGGTAGACTTGACTAGCACAAATACAACATGTTATGTATGGGTAATGAATGACATATTGACCAGGCACATACTTGAATATCCCACCAATAATCTCTGATGCAGGGCTCATCATAAAAATGTTCATACTCAATGCTGTTGTGCCTGTAAAGTCACTGTGTGTCCCAGGTGAAGTGCAGACCGAGGAATGGATTTTCTAAGATATTGAGTGCCCACTCCCACAGTAGGCAAATATGTGCTTCGAACATACATTCTTCCTTTTTGTATGGTACCTTAACTTTGACCCTGGAGAACTATTTAGATAGGTAAGACAGATGGCAATGAATGGATATTTGAAAATCATACTGGAGTGAGTTCCATTGCAGCTGCATCACACACTTTGTGAAGTTTGGCATCATTCTTGAGCATGACTTGGACAGCTCCCTGTGTGACATGAGCAAAGAGATCCAGCAGGGCATTGACCTGTTGCTGGTTGAGTAGTGAAGCGAGTGCAATTTCCACAAACTTGAAGTCACCCAATGTGCGAAATGGGGACCAAGGTGTTTTGTCAACTGGGGATGGGGACTTCTCACTGTGAACACGGAACTCTTTGTAAGACTGATAAATTGGTGGTCAATTGCTTCTTGGATGAAATTGGATCTTGAATTCATGAAGTTTTGCCACATTAGAACTTGTGGCAGTTGGCATCGACATGTCTGAGGGAATCATGAGCACTATGAGAATGTGTGCCAAAGTGAATATGTACCTGAGGCTTGGAGCATGTCGCTCGTCTCATTGTAATCTTGTCCCATAGTCACCTTGACTGCAGCCGCAGTTTGTCTGAGACTAGGACCACAACATAAATGGAAATCAGACTCACTGGGTTCATCAACGAAAAAATATCCTGTATCTGTGCAGTGAGCTTCAGACACTCGAGGCTGCGATTTGAGTACCAATGCTCTCGCAGCTTGATGGTGGGCAGCTGAGTTAATAATTGAAGCCAGAAACCATTACATTGGGTCTGCCTGCGCTATGCACCAATTCACATACCTTGTTGTTTCTCTTCATACTGACATTTGAAAGCTACATGCTCCCTCTCATCTTCTTTGCACTTCCTGCAACTCACCTTGTGCTGCTTGAAACCAGTTTTCTGAAATTTCCTGTTACAGTGAGGGCATTGATAGAGAACAGCATGATTCCATTCAGCATTTTGACAGGTTGAAGCCAAATGGGTGGTACAGGAGGGAGCCATGAGAGAAGATGTATCATAGCTGGACTAGTTCATCCTTTGATCCCAGGTTTGGCTGATGTAAGACAATGTCATGCCATATCAGTCATTATCAGATCATTATCACTCAGTAACTCGGGTAACTCCCATCCAATGAAATTTCTTCCCTTGGCACTGGCCCCAAGCCATTGACATGTCATTACCAGACCATTTTAATGACCCAATAAGGAAATACATGAGCATTGTCAGCTGGCAGCATTATTATGCACCTTGAAAATTTGCAACAGGGGGTCTATGTCTGTGTACATATGCAGATAGGTGCCAACTTCCTGGTTTACATGTTCAGCCTTGCCATTGGTCTGGGAGTGGTAGGTGGTCGAGGTTTTCAGTTCGACTCTTAGGGACCAGTAGAGGTCACAGGTGAAGGTGGAGATGAACTGGGGGCCTCAGGTACACCCCAATGTGGATAAACATAGGTGCAGTAGAGGACCACAATGCCTATGCTGTCCACAGTTTTAGTAGTTGGTAGGAAGAACACACCTTTAGTTAGTCCTTGGTCAACAATAGTGAGGATTGAGTCATATTTTCCTCTGGACAGGGGCAGATCCATTATGAGATCCATAGAGATCTGCTTGGAAGGGAAGGGGTTCTTTGCTATGTCATGTGGGGTAACAGGCAGGGTCGTTGGGTGCATGTCGACCTTGTTGGCTTGGCAGGAAGGGTAACCCTTGCAGTAGTTGCAGATGGACTGGTACATCCCAGGCCACCATATGTAGTTGTTCATTTTCTTCATCATTGCTTTCACTCTGAGGTGTCAAAACATGGGAAGGTCATGGTACTGCCAAAGGACATCTTGGCAAACAGGTTCAGGGATGAAGATTCTCCTTCCCTTCCTCCTGACTCTGTCAGACCCTTCTGTTGTTTCTGGTGCAGAAAGGGACTTGGACACTTCTTTTACCTCCTTGTACAGGTCAGCACTGAGCTGAAAGGCACATCCTTTTCCTTTTGACTGCCTTTGAGTAGTCTCTGGTTCCTTAAAGGTGACTTTTTGGACCGAATTTGACTTGAAAGCAGGCTGATCAAGCTTGAAAATGGAAATGACAGGGGGTCTCACCCCCCCTTCAAGCCAAATGGCCTTTGGTAGTAGGGTTGAGACAGTGGAGGGCTCAGCATTGAAGTCCAAGTGGTGGGAGAGAGTGTCAGCAGCAGAATTCTTGGTTCCTGTAATATGGATGAACTGAAGGGGGTACTCCTGGAGGGTAGCCTTCCAGTGCACCTGTTGGGCTGTAAGCTTCTGAGGCTGCACATAGTAGGTGATATTTTGATGGTCTGTGTACACGTGAGTTGGTTCCAGGGGCAAGAGCAGGTAAGGGCACCACTGCTTGAGGGTGCACATTACCACCAGCATTTCCAAGTCATAGACTTGGTAGTTCTGCTCAGCTCTGGTAAGTGACTGTGACATATACACACAGGGATGAAGCATTCCCAAGTCATCAGCCTGGGACAGGATGGCACTGGTGCTGAGTTTTGAAGCATCAGTGTGGAGTACAAACGGTTTTTGGAGGTCCAGTAGACAAAGAACCAGTTTGGACAATAGGGCCTTCTTCAGGGCTTCGAAGGCAGAGCTCTGTTTGGGGCCCCAGGTCCATTTTGTGTTTTTCTTCAAGAGGTCATGGAGCAGGCAGGTGGTCTGCAAGAAGCCAGAAATAAACTGCCAGTAGAAGTTGCAGAAGCCTAGGAAGGAATGGAGTTCCTTGAGAGTCATCAGTGTGGGCCATGTTTTGATGGCTTCAATTTTGATTTCTGACAGTTCATATTGGCCCTGATGGATCACAAACCCCAAGAACTCTATTTCTTCAGCTTCGAAGGTGCACTTCTTCAGCTTCAGATGCAGGTGTTCCTTTGAAGCAATGTGCAGGAACTGCTGTATGGCCAGTTTGAGACCTTCTTGAGTCTTTGAGTGAATGGTGACATCATCCATGAATATGATGGCCTTTCATTCACTCTTGAGCTCTCCAAAGGTATGGTCCATGTACCTTTGGAAAGTGGGCAGTGAGTTGCACTGCCTGAAGAACATTACCATAGGCTCAAAGAGACCTCAGGGAGTAATGAAAGCTCCCTTCCACTCGTCACCCTCCTTTACTCATATATTAGTGAAACCCCATCGAACATTGAACTTAGTGAAGTACTTGGACTCTGCTAGTTCATCAAGGAGTGTCTTGATGTCTGGTAGAGGGTACAAGTCGATGATAGTGTGCAAGTTGAGGTATTGGTAATCCTGGATGAGTCTTCATTTGCTGTCTTTCTTCCTGATGAAAAATACAGGAGCTGCCTGTGGAGATTTTGAGGGGCAAATCTTTCTGCATTTGAGGTTTTCCTTGATGAATTCATCAAGGCCCTTGAGCTCATCAAGCAAGAGCAGGTAGATGGCTCCTTTCTTTGGCTGGAAGCTCAGCTTCAGGCAGATTTTGTGGTTGAGAAAACCACAGTGGGGTGGAAAAGAGATTTCTTCTTTGGAGAAGACTACTGAGAATTCCCAATAATCTGGTGGTAACTCCACTTTGGCCTGTATGTGTGAAGCTTCAAGCTTTGTCAAGATAGATGTGTGGGTATAACAGTCTGGGCAAAGTTGGTTCTATGTATGCAGTTTTTCTTGTCAAGGCCATGGTTGAGTTCTCCCCAGCCAATCAGCTTTCAAGATGTCCAGCTGATAATGGGGTTGTGTTCTTTGAGCCATGGCATTCCAAGAAGGAGGGACTCCCAATTTCTGAGCTTGAGGACATACATGCAGATGTGCATAGTCTTTCCCCAGATCTTGGCTCTGAAAGAAGCAATATGGGTGACCCAATCTCCTGTCCTGCCTTTGTAGCTTCTTGACTCCCAGGGTCTAGTGATTTTTCACATAGGGATGTTGTACTTCTGCACAATTGCTGGATCAATGATTTTTGTTTCAGTGCCCAAGTCAAGGATGGTTCAGATGGTAGCATTTTCACAATCAATGAGGTAAGCAAAACAAGTGATAGAAGTGATTGATATATCTTGTTTGTAATCATACAATTTCTCAGTCTCTATCTTAGTCTCTATCTTGCACAATACAACAGGCTCTCTTCCTGATGCTACACCAGGGGAGCCTTTCAAAAATCCAGATGACCCTTAGGTCCTCTGTCATCTGTGGGTTTGTCATTCTCCCCACTGTACTTATCTTTGGGTTCATCCTCCTCTTCTTCAGCTTGGTCCAACTCCTCAAGCATTGCCAGGATGTGAATGTGGAATTTTTGGGCCAAGGAAGACCTATTGTTTGTTGTGGATGAGGGGCACTTAGGTTTCATGTGCCCTGTCTTACTGCATCCATAACAGGTAGGAGCTTTGCTCTGTGATTGGACCTTTGACTTCCAATCAACATCCATGGCATAAGGGTCTCGGTATGGAGTCTTTGGAGATGAAGAGGATTTTGATCCATGCAAAGATGATTGTTCTTGCTTCCATAAGTAGGAGTGATCTTGGAAGGTGGCCTTTCTGGTGAAGACCTTGAGAGTGGCCATTGCTGCATGTGCTGCCATAGCCCTTTGGATCCATTCCTTGACAGAGTCTGGCTTGGGCCCAGCCATGAGGATCCATCAGTTGATTTCTTCATTTAAGCCTTTGCCAAAGAAGACTACTGCAGTTGAGTCTTTGGTAGAGATGCAGGCTTTGTTTAGGCAGTTGCAGAAATCAGTGATGTACTTGTCGAGTGAGCAGTCTCCTTGATGAATCATGGAAAGGTAGATGAGAGCAGTGGATTTGCATCACCTACTTGGAAGGTCTCCTTGAGTTTCACAACAAACTTGTCCCAGCCATTGAAGATTTTTAGGTCACCAAGCACAGTAGTGTCTTCATTGATGTAGGCCTCTGCAAAGGTGTGGGCCAAACCACTTCCCATGTAGGAAAGGGTAAATGCTATCTTGGCTTGGTCTTCATAGTATATATGGTCATTGGTGGCAAGGTAAAGTTTGACACTGCTTAGCCAGGCAGAGAAGTCCTGGTGAGCTCCAGTATATGAGAAGGGCTTGTTCAGGCTGATTTCTTTCAGTCCTCCTCCCCTAGAGTTGCATTCCTGTCCTTTCTCCTCGGAACCTCAGGAGGGGCCTTTAGGCCTTGCCATGTCTTGACCAAAAAGGGTCTTGTAGAATTCAGCAGCCATCTTGGGGGTTACCCTGGCCTGACCCTCAAAGGGGTCCTGAATGTTAAGTTCAGCAGTTTTCTGAGCAAGTTCTTCTGCCATAGGGTAGGTAGAAGTTGGTTGGAAAATGTCAGTGTTCAAAGATGATTTGGAGGGGTCTGCTGGTCCAACTGTCCCTCTAGTTTGGGATATGTGAGAGTCAAAGTCTGAGCCTAGTGGCTCAGGGTTTCAGTAAGAGGTAAAGTTAACTGGTGAGGTCGATTCTGCTGCTTGCCCAAGTTGGGGCCTTACTGATGGGTCTTCAAGACCTATACATGGGTTTGGAGTTTGCACTGAAGGGTGTCGAATAAGTGGCCTTGCTTGGAGGACTTCCTTTCCTTTATGGGATGGTACAGGAGGTTTGAATGAAGAGGCTGCTGATGGAGGCCTCTTACTTCCTTCTTCTTGGCATGAAGACATGTTGATGAAGAGGAAGGTTAGTGCTGAAGGTTAGGGGCTAGCTCACTGATATTAAACCAGTGGTTCCTGAGTAGGTGGCAGGAGGTGCTTGTTTAGCAGGCTATTTTGCCTAGCAAGGCTTCCAGAGTACAGGTATCTGAGAGTATCTAGTCTTTGATGTGGCCAGGTGATTTGAAATCTTCTGTTATGCTGACAACTCATATTGCATCATGAATCAAGTACTGAAGTACAAGCACATGACTGCACAAGAAGTGATGCATAATTTAACTTCACTAGCAAATGGAGCACTAGTCTTGGCTGAGTGAAATCACACTGTCAAGTCCCAGAGGTACAGCAAGCAGGGTTGAGTGCAGTTGCAAAGTAGATTTCAAATGAGGAGCTGGTACAATACATGTGGGTTTATATACATATGTACAGTACCTG